TTGTGACGGACGCAGAGCAGAACATGTAAATAAATCCAGACATCGTGGCGAGAAGGAGGAAGGTGGAAACATCCAGTGTGGGGATGTTTCTGGTGTCGTGCACACCTGATGGTGGTTTTCAGTTTCATAAACAAACCGCTGCCATCGTTCACACTGCAGCTGTTTTCAGACAGCAGAGACCCTCCGACACTGCTGCGCAGAATGAAGCGCTCATTCTCCAGACTGGTTCCAGTGCATCACGTTGAAATGGAAAGTCTAACTTTGCATTTTATTCTGGAAATTCACATGTTTATTCTAATGTATTATTAAATTACTAACATCTTGTCCTTATCTTACCTGGGCGGCTGTGGCTGAGTGGTTAGAGCAGTCGTCCTCCAATGCGAGAGTTGGGGGTTCGAATCCACCAGCAGTCACATGCTGTAGTGTCCCTGAGCAAGACACTGAACCCCTCACTGCCTCTGATGTGTGTCCCATCAGTTTATGAATGTGATAAAGCTCTGATTAGTCTCTTTAGAATGATTTGTTCAGTTATCTTTGTAGAGATCTAGTATAGAGCTGTATGAACGGGTCAATGAGGCACAGATTGTTGTAAAGAGCTTGGAGTGTCTTGAAATAAGATAGAAAGGCGCTGTATAAGTACCATTTACCATTTACCTGTGGGAGGGTTTGTTGCATAAAGTAAATCGTTCCTCTTGTTCCAAACCTCTTTGCCTGCAACATATCCTGATGCATGCTCAATAATAATATGTTTTGGATCTTTGCCTGCAAGATTTTACCAACAACACAACAGATGAATGCTTATTTAGACTTTTATTGTATAGATGAAGTAGAGCTTTTGTTACATCTCAAATGGATCACAACTGTGTGACGACCCCACCTGACAGCAAGAAAGTAAAATAAACTCCTCTGATTTAAGACACTTAAGTTTGGTTTAATTTGTTTTAAATTGAAAGGAAGTGTAGTGTTACAGATTCTAAAGAAAGAAGGGGATGTGCAACACTGTAGTAACTACAGAGGGATAAAGTTTTTGAGTCATACTACAAAGAAAGGATGACTGAAGCCAAGAGGTGAGGTGACCATTACTGATGAGCAGTGCAGGTGCAGACAGTTTTGTTGGTACCTTTTTGTAAAAAAACCCCACAAATGTCACTAAAGTAACTTGAAACAGTCTAGAATAATAGAAAGAGAGAGAGAGGTCAACATACAGACCTAACTCCAAATAGTCAACGGCCACGTCAAAAGTTGTTAAATTTAAGTGAGAAACGTGTCTTCCTCCATCCAGAGGACTTCCTCAGTCTACGTTTCCCAGTGTTTGTGAAACACTGCTGTGTTTCAAGACGACCTCCTGTTAGAATCTCAGAAGCAGGCTGTTTTCAACACGTGCAAAACGCACCCATCACGTGTGGCAGGCCACACACTGAGGAAGTCCTCTGGATGGGGTATGAAATGTTTCTCTCTTAAAGAAACCGGTCCAAATGACATGATTTAACTTTTTTGTTATTTACCGGGGTGATTGAGCTTACAGACCTTTTTTTGTTACTAATTTAATGTTTATTTACGTTAATGTTTCTGTTCCGTGCCCTGAGATGACTTCTGTTGTGACTTGGTGCTTTATAAATAAACTGAACTGATTTGAACTGGTTAATGTATAAAGCCTCAGCTATTTGACTTCAATTTAAACTTGTGCATATTTACACTCAAGTAACAAAAACTATAAGAAAATATAGAATTATATGATTATATTAATATATGATTACCTCCACCTTTGTTTACTGCCGTTACAAGTCCACTCCAGGTCCATAGTTTGGTTCTGAACCAGTTTGTGGTATTTTTAGACGTGCACTTTGGGTCATTATTCTGCTAAAAGTCATATAACCTTCAACTGAGACTGCTTTCTCACTCTGGCAGCACATTGTGCTCCACAATGCCTTCATAGTCTTGAGATTTTATTTTTCTCTGCACATCTGTGCCAGATGCAGCAACAAACTCTAGAACAGAACCGAGCCTCCTCCATGTTTCACTGTAGGTACAGTGTTCTTTTCTTTGGACGTTCCACTTTTGGGTTCGTGAACATCCGTCCGTCTCTCCAGTCTGTCGTCAGTTTTCTTTTTGTGGCCGTGTCCAGGGAGGTTGTCTTCATGTCATGGACCTGAAACGTCTGAAGAATCTGTGCAGCTGCAGGAACATGGAGCTGCTTGGACATGGTCTCATAGACTTTATCTTTAACATGCGGATGTAGCGTGTCAAGGTCAGCTTGGCTGTACCTTCACTACAATATAATTTAAATAACGGGTTCTCTCTTTTTCGAGCTAATTACAGCCATGTGACAGAAGTAACTGCATAGATGGTTTAATCAGTGACATGAGACGTTAATTTTCTTTGACCCATCAAAATAAATGTGGTCATTTATTTAACAGAATCAAAATTTAACATCAAAACATTGTACACTTGATTAGACTGGTCTGGTTCTGATTAATAACACTTGGCACGTTTTACTTAATAAAAACAACAGACATTTCTGAAGGCATCTGGATTAGTTACTGGCGAAATAGAAGAGTTTAAAGATGAAAAATGGAGGAGTTTAAAGGGAGAGGTTTGAAGGAAGATGTATGTCTGTAGACCAGAACAGCACGCTCCTTTCAAACGCAGCTCGCCCTCGGTCCACTTAGTGCGTGAAGCTCGTGACGACTCTTTACTTTGGCAGAGGATGGGTCCGCTACGGTCAAGAGGTCCCTGGCACGCTACCTTTCAGCGTCTCCTCAGGACGGCTGCGACTCGGCAGAAGTCGTGAGATACTCCGTTCTACAGAACAAACTTCCTCAGAAGTTGTAGGGCATTCGCCTGGTGGAGCCACAGCGAGGCGCCGTGACTCCTGCAGAGATGGACGACTCCATCAGACTGGAAAACTGAGTCCGAAGTTCCACTCAGCAGTGGAAAAACTCCATGAAGACTGAGAACTGCAGAACTGCAGCACTGACTTCAGAACTGAATAGTTCCAGGAAGTGTCGACTTTTAAAGAGTTCTCACTTTAGGACCTCCTGATTGGCTGAAGCAACCAACGGGGTGGTTCTTGTGATGTCAGAGGGTCATTACAAGTCAAGAAAACAGCAGGAATGTTTTAGAAACGTCCCGTACAGACAGAAGACATGTTATGTCCAAGTGGGAGGAAGAGAGGCCAGTAGCTTCTTGTTTACCGTCTGCTAGGTTTAAAAACACGACACTTCGTTCCAATAACTTCCCTCTGACTTTCGACCGACATCACTACTTCTCATTTAGACAGAAGATCAAAAATGCATAATTACTTTGTAAATAGACGTTTAACTTGATTTCTAATTTAAATGAGGATTAAAAAATCATTAATACTGTTTCACAGTTGATTTAAAATGAGTAGTTCACTTCAACATTTAGAAATGGTATGAACTAAACACACTTTGATTATCAAGATATTGTAAAATAGTAGGGCAGCACGGTGGCGCAACTGGTAGAGCTGCTGCCTCTCAGCGAGCAGGTCCTTGGTTCAAACCCCGGTCCAGGGGCCTTTCTGGGTGGAGTTTGCATGTTCTCTCCGTGCATGCGTGGGTTTTCTCCGGGTACTCCGGTTTCCTCCCACAGACCAAAAACATGCATGTTAGGCTGATTGGTAACTCTAAATTGTCCCTAGGTGTGAGTGAGAGAGTGAATGGTTGTTTGTCTCGTTTGTCTCTATGTGTCCCTGTGATGGACTTGCGACCCGTCCAGGGTGTACCCCGCCCCTCGCACACTGATTGCTGGACATGGGCACCAGCGACCCCCGTGACCCAAAATGGAACAAACGGGTAAAGATAATGGATGGATGTAAAATAGTAATGATAATATAAAAAAAGAGAGTGTTCTTTCAATTGATTAGTTCAGGATACAATTAGAAAGTCTCTGGATGAGCTAATTTGTATTTCTGGATTCAAATCAATGAAATAACAGTTCCTGTCCCATGAAGGTCTTCAGAGGCAGGTTTTGGTCGGAGGCCAAGTTCACTACACTGATCAAGTTTTCTTTCTAAAGCTCTGAGACAACTGTGTGGTCCATGTTCAGTGTTACACACCATGATACCAAACAGCACTGTGACTACGTTTCACCCTTTAAACAGGCACACTGACTGATTACACACTGAACACACCTGAGAGGCACATCACACACACACACACATCAGTTTAATGGTCAAATTATTTTTCATCTTTTCTAAGAGTGCCTTGATTTTTGTCATGTCCAGTTTTATTAGTTTGTTTTAAAAAAAAAAATCTGCTAAACTAAAATAAAAATGCAGCGACTCTTTGTTTATTCTGTTTTTTTTTTTAATTACTTTTCTCTGATTCAGGAACGGAGTCCGTTGCGAACAGGAGACCAGTAGGTGCTGTAGGTAGCAGAGCTGAAGGTGCTCAGATTGTCATTGAAAGGGACCAAGATGGACAGAAATGATTCAAAGGAACAGCTCAGGTTGGTCTGGAGACAAACTGGAGAGGCGAGGCAAACATGGTTCAGCTACAAAGGAGGAAATGAGAGCACAGAGGAGGTTCATGGTTCATGCAGTGAGGGCTGGTGTGAGAGAGGAGGATGCTGGGATGGATGGAGGCAGATGATCTGCCGTAACCTGAAGAAGTAGGCGTTTCTTCTTCTTTCACAAAATGTTTCTAATTCTGAGGAATACGATCGATCAAAACAAAATTCAGTTCATTTATACAGAGCCAAATCACAACAGAGATGCCTCGGGGCACGTTACAGGAACATTCACACACATAAAAGCCAAATTAAATCAACAGAAGAAAGATGAAACTTCATATAAACCTTCTGTCCCGTTAGTAACAACGGAACCACAAACTCAGACACGATGATTGTGTTGAACAGATGTACCAAGAATTGTGTGGCAAAGATGAGAAACCATAAATCTGTTGAGCTTTGTTTGAACCTTTTGTCTCTAATCTCATCTTTGCTCCCGTCCCCCATGTCTTTGTCTTGTGACGCACCAGTTGTAGAAAACCATGTAAATGGAACCAGTGGACAAACTGCGGTACAAGCTCCGAACACTAGCGGGCCCCCGTGTGACACGACGACGGACAACGGGCCGGCTAGCTCCCCATCTTCTGACGAAGAGCCGGTGAACCCTGCGCCGCGACGATGTCACCGCCGTCGCACGCCTCGCTCCGAGCTGGGACGCAAAACCAGCGCCCCCAAAGACGAACGGACGGTGGTCCAGAAGCCTCCTAGAGCCAAGAGTCAACCACCAGTCAGCACCAAGGAGAACGGGAGACTGTCCAGCCGACCAGACTGGGCTGAGAGACAGATGGAGGTGATGTGTGTTTTTATCTCGGAGAAGCTCCTCCATGTTTCAATAATATGTGAAGCAAAATGAAACCAGGTTTGGTGAGCTCGCAGTCTGTTGTCCATGATATCAACAGTAAAAATCCTGATTGATTCGTTGTCACTGTTCTTTGCAGCCCGTACGTCTTCTAAGATTTAGAAGAGTCCTGTTTCTCAGAGCAGCAGGTGCAGGGGACCAGAGAATGGAGCTGTGTCACCAGACCCTCTGCCAGCTTTAATAATACATTCACTCGGTGCTCGTTTCACCAATCGGCCCTCTGGTTTCTCCTCACAGAGCAACACGTCCGACGCCTGCGTTCAGACCAGAAGGGATTCCGATAAGCGGAAGTCCAACCCGGACCGCCGGCGGGCTCGATCAGCTGACTTGGAGAAGATGAGGCGTGCGCAGCTCACAGTAGTGGATGACCGCTGGATGACGGAGTACATGCGCTGCTTCTCTGCCCGGCTCAGGTAGAGACCGGCTCCAGAAGGATCGCTGAAGCACGTTCACTTGTCAGGAGGTGCAAACCGCCTCCATGTGAGTGAGCGTCTCAACGTGGGGAAAGTGAAGAAGATGGGCTGAGGTGCTAACATGCTCATTACATTTATCTTACAGAACTTTATTCGCCTCAGTGGCTGTAACAACACCTTTAATAAACTCTGGACTAACTGGCTCCAACAGACCTGAATCACGTCTATAATATGTGATTCAGGCATCACATTCTAATTATTCACCAAGAAATATGGAAAGTTTCCAAGAGATTCTAAAGTGAGTTCTCACCAGGATCTCGTCCACACGGCACCAGATGTTCAGTTTGTTCTGTAGCGTCGGGTCACAACAGAAGTCCTCTCAGGGCACTGAACAGAAACATGAATATCTGAGGATTCCTGACCTGCTGTCCACATGGAAACGGATTTTAGTGAATACTAAAATTCCAGTCACATATCAAAGTCAAAGTCCGGACCATAACTTCTGATCAGTTCAAGACGATGTATTGAAACGTTACACACATTAGTACCACCACTAGGCTGCGTGCTGTGTGATCTTTTCACCCCCCAGCTCTAAAGTTAAGTACAAAGGTTGTACAAGGTCTTTGCTTGTCCCGGCCGTCACTATAGATTGCTGTTTAATAGTCGACGAGCGTTTCACATGATGCACTCTTGTTTTTTATCATTTTCTTTCAAAGGCAGCGTAAAGGACCAAACAGGAATATTTTTCATATCTAGCCTAGTTTTTAGAAAATAAGACCTATACTTTAGAAGATGCTACGGTTGGATGGTTTACAAAGATAATGTATAGAATAAAGTATTTAATGTATTTTCAAAGTAAAGTATTTCAGCTCTCCTTGTCTAGTCCGAGTCTCGCTAAATGAGCCTCACTTCACTTTAATCAGGAGACTGCTGAATCACGTTGGAGTAAAGTGGGGGGGTGGATGTTATCGTTGGCCCCAGAGTTCATAAAATCCTACAAATAAATACTTAAAACATTATATTTTTGAAGGCTTAGAAAAAAGTTTGAATGAAAATATCAATCGCTGAAACCCAGAGTTTCCTCCAGCGTCTCATCAACAGCAGATTATAAATTGATTTTGGAAGAACATTATATATTTATACATATATTTATAGGGAACTTTTTGTGAAAAGATCTCACAGCTTTATGAAACGTCCAGCTGGAGCCTCTGAAACCAGTTTGAGTCCTGGAGTTCTTACCCAGAGATAAAACAAAAGGGAGATGATTTAACATTTTACCACCTTCAGTCCATCAGACTGACTGGATTTAATAAAAACTGTGTTCAGTGTCGTAGTTAATGAACGTTTCAGGTAAAACAGGTGATGAGTTTGTGCTTTGCTTGTTGGTTTAACTAAAGATTGTAAACCCCTGGTGGTGTCAAACACCTCCCGACCCGCTCTGAGGGCTAATGTCCTTTTGTACCGTTTGTAACATTTTATGGTTTTCTTTAAAAAAAAACAAAAAAAAACATGAATGCTTTTAAATTCACTTTGAATGTTTGACTTGACACCAGCTGACCTCCTCACTCTGAATGTGCACAGATACTCGTTTGTTTTTTTGCTGTTTTCACTGGATTTTCATCGCTGTGCTGTAAAACAACGAACACCTTCCTGTTGTAGACGTGTCCAGTCTGAAACAGCATCTATGGAACCATCAGAACCAGAGAAAGTTCTCTGATCCTTCACCGAGCTGTAGGGAAGTGTCACAATAAGCTAACAATAAAATCAAGTATTTGATCTTGTGCTAGTTTGTTTTATGGGATTTCTGCAGAATTTAAATCGAACCATCTCTTGTAGGGCTTCAAAGACATTTAGTTGCATCTTAAATGGATTTTTTCATTCATTGCTTCATCTTCCACCCCCTTCCTGTTAGAATTCATTTGTTCTGTGGTGGAGCTCAGTCTGAGGACACTGGTTCTATCTCATCCCTACTGACCAGAGGTGGTGCTTAAAGCACTGAATGATCATTCTTGCACATGCACAGGTCAAGTATCTTATGCCAACATGATCACGTGTGACCCCGGGTGACACGGATGAGTCTATATAGTCACGGGACATTCAGTCCCTTTTCATCTTCTCGCATGGCGTGGGAAGAGGTTTGCTTTTCTTTCTGCTTGACACTGGTAGCCTCGAGACCACGGTCGGAGCTGTGGTTTTTAGCAGCTGGTGTTGTGCTAGACATGAGGACACTGTTCTGTTTCTGTGATTCTTACCTTCCTTCAGAAGCTACTTTCTCAAGGTCGGTCTCCATCCACTCTAAAGGTTTATGTTGCTGCCATCTCTTGCTGGCCTACGGTGGTGGGTGGAAAGACAACAGGCCGTAACGAGGATGTGTGCTTGTTTCTGAGAGGCGCCCGACGTTTGCACCCTCCCACACGCCTTGTCGTGCTTGTATGGGACCTCTCTCTGGTCCTCGCTGCCCTGCAGTCTGTTCCATTTGAGCCCTTGGCAGAAGTGAGCCTTGAGTGCTGGTCTAAACCACGTTTTCCTGGCCATGGCTTCAGCCAAATGAGTAGGTGAACTCCATGCGTTGTCTGTTCACGAGTCCTGTTGCCGTTGGAACCCAGCTGGTTCAGGCGTTACTCTTTGGCCTAATGTAGCGTTCCTCCCTAAGGTGACCTCGTCTGTGAGCCACTCTCTGCCTCTCCAGCTTGCTCACTTGATGTAGGTGGTGCTGATGAGCCTCTCTGGCCTGTTCGGGCACTGGAAGTGTACGTACGTCAGATGGGACAGCTTCTCTGCGGCAGTCTGATGATCTGTTTGCTATGCAGGACCTCACAAATGGTAGGCCCTTTCAAAGCAGCATCTTGCGCGCTGTACTGTGGACGTGGTGGAACGGGCGTACGCTCTACAGGGCCACCAGCCACCTGTGGGGGTACGGTGCCATTCCACCAGGAGCTTTAGTGTGTCATGGGCCACTATGAATGAGGTCACTCTGGAGGCTGTATGTGCAGCAGCCTCCTGGTCATCCCCAAATACCTTTGCTAGGTTCTACAGAGTAAACCTGGCTGCTTTTCACATGTTGGAGGGGATCCTATCGCAGCACTCCTCTTCATAAGGTGGGCATGCTTTGAAGTTTTGTTTCTTCTTCTTGTGTATGTGATCCCTCAGGATTCTGTTGGTTATCGTCATCCAGTGCTTTAAGCACCACCTCTGGCGGTCAGCAGGGATGAAATAAGACGAAAGTTACGACTGTAACTACAGTTCTATGAATCCCAGATGACCGCCAGAGCGCTCAGTCCCTCGGAATCATCATGTTTCGTGAGGAGATTAAGGGACTGAGTTACCATTGTCACGTGACTATATAGGCTCACTGGTGTCACCGGGGGTCGCACGGGACCATGTTGGCAGAAGATGCTCGACCTGTGCATGTGCAAGAATGACCATCCAGTGCTTTGAGCACCACCTCTGGCAGTCATCCGGGATTCAGAGAACCGTAGTTACAGTTGTAACTTTCGTTGTTGACACTGTAACTAAACTAAAACTCCCATCATGCAGCAGTCCTGTCACAAGGAGTTTAGTGTTGGCCAACATCTGTTCTGCTCCTAAAACGAATGTAATTAGAATAATTTGGATAAAATGAGTTTCTTTCATTTGTCAAACTTAGGATCGCTTCCTGTTTTTTATGGCAGGCCTCAGCGGCAAAAAGTCGTGCAGACTGCTATAAATTCTACATTTTATTATTAAACCAGTACAAGAAGTTTAAAACATGTTTAGTGTGTTGTCTCGAACTGGACATCTTTAAATCCAGTTGTTTCAAACCCAAACTGCTCAGCTTGTTTCACAGTCGGTCCTTCTTTATGATGAACACTTGTCGGTTCACTGCGATGAACTTCAGTTGGATCGATGAGAACAGAAGTTCTGATTTATTAAAGAAAGGACTGTCGGAACAAACCGTAAAGAGACTTTGGCTCCGCTCATGTAGGTGAGACTCCTCAGAGATGCCGTTACGTTCTTCTTTTTCTGTTGACACTTAGAGGTCAGAGGTCACAGGAGGGCCTTTAGTATCTCTTACAAACCAGGAATTCTACTTACGGTCAAAATCACCAGTTTAAAATGACCCTTAAGGGAATTAAAAAAGATTTAAGGGCACAACTGTTGCACTCGTTTTGAGTTAATTTATCTACATTTGTTTGTTTGACTTTGTTTGAATGTTTAGACAATCACAAGTGTTTGAATTGATTGTTAAATATCTATACTGGTTTTTTTACTACACAAAGTATAAGCTAACACACAGAGGTTTGTGTTGAAGGGAAAAAGGTTTAGCTGTTGTTTTGGTAAAAGATATGTTCATTTGACACGAGTGTGATTTGATTTACACTAATGTTCAGATTTAAAACTATTTTGTACCATTCACACAATGAATTTCATTCATTTTAATGTGTTGCTGTGAATAAAACATTGAAGTAAAAACAAATTGGTCTTTTTTATTATGATCATATATATGGCTCAGTGATAGTCAATTAAAATTAAATTTCCCAAATAAACTTCATCTTTTCATATTTTAACTTCAGGTAAAAATTAAAGCAAGTACCGGTACGTCCAAAAGACTATTTTATATATGTCACATTTTAATTCTGAAATGTTCAGAGGTTTCGTGGATGACTTTGGACCAAACGTTCAGCCCGATTGTTGAAGTTGTACCGCTCCGTGACTCTGAATGTGTGTAACCATTTAATCCAGTCAGTGCAGCACATCAGTGCAGCAATCAAACAAAGTAAAGTCAGGTCCTCTGGACGGATTCTTCTTGAAGCATTTCATCTTTTATCCAAAGTACTTCTTCAGTCTGACAAGCTGCAACAAACCAGAACCTTCTCATAGTGGATCAACAGGTTCAACACCGACAGCCAGAACTAGTTGATAAAGGACCATCAGCCCAACTTGTTGTTGGTGCTCTGATGGCCACTTGCTATTCACAGGGGGCTGAGTGATACTAGCAATAACAGCATTGTAAGAGGGGACAGGATTTTTCTACCTGGATTATTGAGTATCAGGGTCAGTGCGGTGAGCTTTTAAATGCAGGCCGTATTTTTAAAAAGACCATGTCAGCCACTCAAAATTTAAAAATGGACACTTTTCAACATGGCCAACAAAAGCGCTATACTTTACAATTGTATTTCAATACGGTACATTTAAATGTAATGACATGTTTTATGGTAATAAGTTTACATACTAAATTACCAAAGATTATACGAAACTGTAAATGGCCACCAAGTTTTATATTTTCAAACATTTCATTTATTTATGAGGTCTAAATGTGTAATGTTTAATGGTAGAAAAATAAAAATATTTTGCTAACTTACTATGATCATCTAAATTAAGAAGATGAGTTTCTGCAGCTCCACCTGCCGATCCCAACAGAACCCACATCCTCCAGTTCTGCCAGTGCTCGTCATATTTAATACCTCACCAACACAAAACCTGCTCTAAACACTTTTCTGTTCAAGTTTACGGTAACCTAAAGGCTAGAAACAGATCTGTTAGTTTTAAAAACTTGAATGTAAAGAAGCACACTGGATCTAAATGTTTGTAAATCTGTTTATTTACAACATAAAACCTGAAAAGTTTCAAAAAAAGAAAAACATGCAGTTAGAACTGATTTTAAACCAGCGTGCATCATCCGAGTAAAAACATTAAAACTGTACAAACTCTGAGCCAAAGAGAAATCTTAGTTTTAAACGGTGGCTCATGAGGGGAGTCCTGCAGCGAGGATGCTGCCCAGCAGCGCTCGGTCCTTCAGAGCATTTTCAACATCTTTCTCTTCGATGTTCAGAAACACCTGCAGGAACAAAACAAAACCCCGTCACTCCTTCACATCCACAAACGAACAGGCTGGAAAAGAAAACATTACGTTGGAACAGAGTGCCCAGAGTGCCACGACTTCTTGTAGTTTTACAAACAGATTTCACCAGTTTATTTCCCCACTGGCTCTCTAACGAGGCGCACACATTCCTTCCCGCTCCCTGTTCTCCTCCTGCTTTTTTGCTCTGTATCGGAGCAGCTCCTATTTTTTTTACGTCTTCCGAAATTAAAACTACTGTTTTAGATCTGACCAACTGGACTTTCAACGCAAATGACAAAATCTTTTCAACAAAGCGACAGGGTCCTGGAGAACCCTCATCTGCTCGGACGACACACATGCGGCTGGATAAATCTCTGGGGGTGACGTGTCTACCTCTGCTGTCGAACGAGGATGCTGGAATTGCATCTAATTGGATTTATGACAACAGGTTTGGTGTTTTTGGAATAGTCTGGATCCTGGTTTATCAACGTACAAAGAAGACGGTCGCAGCTAATTTGGACCTCGTCAGGCTGCTGCCTATGTTTTGATTCGTGCTGGGAGGACTCAAAATCAGCTGATTTACGAGCAAAACCGTAAGTTGGAAGTGACTTAAGAGATCTTTTTTGTAATGTCACTATCCTCTCCTCATGGCTTTGTCCCTTTTTCTATCTAAAAAATGTATTCTGACAAGGATAAGAAGGCTGCGCTTTATAGCAGCAGCTACGTGCACTCTGTCCATCTTTCAGACAGATGTACGGACATGTTCTCGTATCTCGGTGCGATGATAAAGTTTATTCTGAAACATTGTTCTCTGAGATCTGTCTCAGCTGGAGCTAATTGTCCTACTTTTGGCTGCCAATTTGCTATTTGGCCTTTTAGCTACTGTTCTGCTACTTTTAGCTATGGTTCTATCCATTCTAGCTACAACTTTTACCTACTTTTAACTTTGGACACTTGCTAATTTTAGCCTTTAGTTATCGTTTAGCTACGTTCCAGAGTTTGGCTCATGTTCTACTGATTTTACTTCAGCTCGTTTCAACTAATTGCTCAGTCGCAGCTTCATGAACAAACCCCAGGAGAACTCGTTCACGCTGCAGCGTCACAGAACGTGTTTCTTTCTGCACCACCGTGCCGCGGTGCAGTCAGAGCTGCTGCCTCAGCGAGCAGGTCGCCGGTTCAAATCCCAGCCGGGGGCCTTTCTGGGTGGAGTTTGCATGTTCTCTCCGTGCATGCATAGGTTTCCTCCCACAGACCAAAAACATGCACGTTAGGCTGATTGGCAAGTCGAAGCCTCTCGCAGAGCGACTGCTGGACGTGGCACCAGTGACGCCCACGACCAGAAAAGGAAGAAGCGGGTAAAGATGATGGATGGTTCTAGTAACATCCTGCCATTCAAACCACAGCTGATGTTTTATGAGTGAATCTTTAGTTCCCCTCAGCAAGGCACTGCCACAGTAAGAATTAAATCCCGCCCTTGTTTGATTCTTAAGCTTTAAATCCCATCGGACCCGATTTTCCCTCGCGCTGCTGAACCGTGCTCCTGCTGAGTATGGTACCTTGGTGAGACGAGCCTCTCTGGCCTTCTTCAGAGCAAAGACGCCTCGACTCTCCAGCAGACTGCAGAGAGACAAACACTCCCCCTGACCGACTCCAGACACCTGCCTCTGAGCACACAGGCGACTGTACACCTCGTGGAGCTGAAGGGAAAGAGCTCTGCATTATCCTGTGCATTGAAACCACAAGGAAAGCTGTGATGTCATCATTGTGCGCCTCACCTTCCCCAGGCCGATCTCTCTGCTCTTCCCGTGGCGGATGAGCAGCAGAAGGCAGCAGACCAGCAGCTTCTGCTGCAGAGGGAAACTCTCCCCCTCTGAGCTGCTGCTCTGAGAGGCCATGCGGTCGCCGTACACCTCCGACAGCACGCGGGCCACCTGCGGGAGGCCGACCCGAGGCGCTGCAGACCCGGGACAGATCCTGTCAGTCAGCTTCTAAAATAACCTTCTGCTCATGCATCACCAAGCTACGACTTAATCCGACTATACGTTTCAAGCAAACTCACGTTTTGTTTCACGTTCAGGATCGAGTGCTTTCTTCCTCTCGTCAGCTTGTGCCACTTCCACCGCTCTCCTGAAAACACAAACCAGCTCCGTCACGATTTAGTAAAAACCTATGAAATGTTTCCCGACAGCCAGTTTGTCAGTTCAACCCACGTGCAGGCGACATGTTTACCTGCAGATGTCCAGAGCTTTCCTGGCGTCTCCAGACACCGCTGATACCTTTCTGACACAGAACTGAAGCGCAGACACGTCCAGGATCCCTTCACTCGACACCTGGGGGAAACAGAACCTACAGCGTTACACAGGAACAGTCGGCCCCAGAATGAAAATACAGCTGAACTTAACCATGACCCACCTGTGCCAGTCTGTCCTGTATGATGGACGAGAGCTCCTGCCGACTGTAGGGAGGAAAGTGCAGCAGCAGGGGGCGACAGAGAGGCCGAGCCTGCAGCCTGGGCAGAATCCGGTCAGTCAGGTCCAGAGCGTTGGCGACACCTGCGGACAAACAGACCGGTGTGGTCAGATGACACAACTGTGACGTTTATCATGAGGGACCAGAAGAACGAACTCATCAAGGAGTACGGACAGCTGAAGACCAGGCTCCTACCAATGAGACACAGACGAGACTTGGGCAGGTACGGCCATTCAAAGATGGTGTAGAGGACGTCCTGAGCTCTGCTGTCCAGCTGGTCCATTTCATCCAGAATGAGAAGCCTGAGACACAAACACACTGTCAGGCTTCATACGACCTACAGGAACAAACTACAGTAAAATATGATGGAACTACACTACATTTTTTTCCGGCCACATTTCTTCCTCGAAGACGATGGGTCCCCACTATCCTCCCAGTTTTAATAATGCGTTGGACAGTTCTTAACCCAATAGTTTCTACAATCTCCTCAGATGTTTTCTCTGCTTGATGCCAATGATTTGACCCTTCTCCAACAGACTGACATCTTTTCCACATCATGTGTCTTTCAACATGGTGGTTTAAGAAATGAGAACAACCCATTGCACCAGTTGGGGTTAAATAACTTGTTGCAGCTGAAAGATAATCGCTCACGCAGTAGTTATCCAACAGGAGGCTCGTACCTGTTTGTTTAGTTAAATCCAGGTGGCAACTTTTTTTTGGCCAGGCAGTGTAGAACAAAGTTGGTCCTCTGGACGGACTAAAAAAATAAAGTTTTTGAAACGTTTCATCTTTTATCCAAAAGACTTCTTCAGTCTGATGAGCTGCAACAAAACTCAGTCTTATCGACCAGTTTCGTTGCCGACATCCAGAACTAGCTGTTCACATGATAAAGCACCATGAGCCTAACAACTGATCGTTAGAGCTCTGATGGCCACTTACTATTCACAGAGGGCTGAGTGATACCAACAATTGGACACGGAGGCTCCGCCCCTTTTAATGGACGGGCTCCTTCACTCCTCTCTCAAACCATCGTTCCTCTCCATCAAGGATGTGCACCAGTTTGAAGAGGACCGTGTTAGTTTTCCACCTGGCTACGTCAGGATATGATCAAAGTAACTCACACGGAGGAGCCGGGGGCTGTCAGGAGCCTCTGCAGGCCGTTCTGCCCGCCAGGTGCTTTCAGCTTGTCAGCCAGAAGGGGGAAAATGGCGTGGGAGCTCCGCAGACTCATGCAGTTCACCATAACAGTCTGCACCGAGGACAGCTCAGTCTGGTGGGACGAGAACACCAGTGAGATCAAAGCACAAGAGAATGAGCCGACACCTTTAAACACCCCCCAGACAGGTTTTCAAGCCTGGACCCACCCTCATGTCCTGCAGCACACAGTTCAGGCAGGCCGTCTTCCCAGTCCCCGGGGCTCCTGAGATGTACAGGCACCCAGGGGCACGCTGCAGCACCTTGTCCTGCAGGAAGGAGCGAATGTGCGCCTGCTCAGCCTCCCTGCACAAGAGACGCTCGGGTACGGCGGTGTGCAGGACCTGCTTCACGCTCTGGAGCCCCGACTCTGGAGGAAACGTGAACATTACAGGTTAGTGACATCACTGGACGGGTTACTGTAAAACATCGTGGATCCGAACAACAACAATCATTCAGCTCTTACTTTCTGTAAACAGTCGTGCAACTGGTGGCGTCTTCAGCCGGTCCTGGCAGACTGGACTTCCAGTGGGGGTTTCTGGCCTTCTCGGGGACGGCTTGGCGGTTGAAGGCGGGTTTGATGTTGGGTGGAGCGAGGCCGGCGAGTTCTCGTCAAAGCCCAGTTTCCGCTGCGAGTTCAGAGTGGGTTTGTTCTTCTTGGGAGGGGAACACTGCAGGGGGGCGCCGAGGTTGCAGCCGTTCTCATCACCTTCGAAAACAAAACCCAGAACCGTTGAGCTGCCTGGACACCTCGTGAATGTCCAACCAGGTTTGTCCCCCCCCTTCTCTCCTCTTGTTTTAACTCACCTGTGCGTTTCCGTGGGCTGAGGGGGAGTCGGGTTCCAGGAGCAGGTGGTGTCTGACCTGCAGGGCGTCTGCGGGACAGAGGAGTGAGACGGGCGCCGGGCTGCTCTGGAGACAGCGGAGGCTCAGCGAGGCACCTCCATGTCAGAGAAACAGGCAGGTCCGTTTGGCGACTTGGGGACAGGGGTCCGATCCGGGTCAGGGGAGCCGGCTGGGGCTCTGGCTTGGTTGGCGACGAAGGTGGAGCGTTTTGGGGTTTGGGTGTCTTGCCGCGGGACGACGCTCGGCAGGATCTGCGTCGTGGAAACTGCAGCGTGAGCTGAGCTTGGTCCTGAGAGCGGGTGCTGGGCATCCTGGGTCCTCTGGAGTCAAAATGGTACAGAACCATTAAATTATTGTGCATGCTCAGGATGGAGCTGTGATGACGTGAAGACTCAACACGATCTGCCGCTTCCTTAGACAAAATTTACCAATTGTTTTGTTATGTATGAGAATGTTGAGTCAGTGCCCCGAGACGACTTCGGCTGCGACTTCAGCTACAATATAGAAATAAAGTGAATTAAATTTAAATGGACTGTGCTTATACAACACCTTTCTCTTATCAAGATAAAGTGCTCTACAATCAGAGCTTTATCACATTCATACACTGAAGGGACACACATGGAGGCGATGAGGGGTTCAGGGTCTTGCCCAGGGACACTTCGGCATGTGACTGCTGGCGGATTCGAACCCCCGACTCTTGCATTGGAGGACGACTGCTCTAACCACTCAGCCACAGGTTTGATCAGATAACTCCTACAATAATCAAAATGGTGTTCCATGTACAACTTGGGTTTTAAAGTCGTACAAACACTTAAGATCTGAGATACATTAAAAACCTGAAGTTGTTTAAGCTATTTTTAAATTAATATGTCTGCTAACTTTGGCCTAAACACATGGCTCAAAGTCAGAAAATGATGCTACAGTTTGTTGGGGCAGAGACTTTAATAAGACCTGCACTGATCAACATCAAACAGGAAGCGGCGTCCTCTCTATTGGCGCCAAAACAAAAACACCAAGAATCCGCCAGCGACCCAACTCAAGCACACCTGTTTAACAAACATAATACAAAATACTGTAAGAAAGTCGTATACATTCAACTAAACATTAGTAGTTCATACCATCAACCAACATGACGCGCGCTCAGTCAGTGACAAGCGAGCTCCGCGACTTTTCGCACTTCCGCCCGTAAATGAAACGATTTCAAGTGTTCCAACTTACAGCGAGCTGTCGGTGAGTGTAGGTTTGTCCCAGGTGAAAAGAAGTCTCCTCGACTCACGACAGACGACCTTCACCGCCTCAAACCTCACCGACTTCTCGGTAACTGAGCTCAAACTAGCGCCAAACTGTCCAGCTCCTCCTCGCCAGCTGTTGCTCCCGCTGCTCTCTGATTGGTCAGTGCAGCAAACGGATGTGACGTCAGCTTTATGACTCCCGCAAACAGACCGGTGGCGGGAGTTTGATTAAAGGCGGATGCTGTTAGAGAAACATAAACTTAGTTGCTGTTTTTTTGTGTCGTCTTAAATGAATAATTCTATTTTTTATTTCTAGTATAAGTCATTTTTCCTGAAATAACTGCATGTTTTCTTGCCATTATATTCTATTTTGAACAAAGTAAAAAAAAAAAGAAGTGTATTTTCAGATAATCAGGTTAAGATAAAGATACTTTGTATTCAAATTAAGACCGAATTTAGGGACTTATTGTCCTAAAAGTAATGAAATAGAAACAGGGACTGTTAAAAAGTAATGTAATCACTGAAGAAAAAGCCTTAAGTGAAACTCTTGTGAAATAATCCAAACAAAAATAACAGCCTACAATACATTAAAGAAACACTTTGTTTGAAATGCTCCATCACAGCAACAAAGACACATTGACTTTTTATTTACCTTTATCGTTAACAAAAGTTTAAAAGCAAAATTTAACGAACACCAGTTAGAAATTCTGAACTTTGCAGCTTTTTTCTGAACAGCATTTTTACATTTTTGGAGTGACCGTGTGAGACTAATGAGTGCAGAGGGACAGATAACGAGCCCTGTGGGAGGCTGCCATCTTGTGAAGTGCTACACACGTCACTCTGTACCGTTTACGTGTCAAAGCCACAAATAATGCCTGATGAAGCGCTCCAGATGGAGGGCGAAACGTCTCAGCACAAAAAAGAAACCATCCAGAGGACCTGACTGAACATGGTTGGATTGTATACCTGGATTACGCATGAACCTGGATTGAGCATGACTTTTGGTGAAAATAATGCCTTGCATGCTGTCATCAGTCCAAAAACACAGGAACCCCTTAAATCGCATAAATTTAGTTAAATCGTGTAAAATGTGAAAACTGGAGGAGTATTGTCCTGGTCCGGACCCAGTTGATGAGTTAGGAGTTAATCTGTTATTGATGATCTGCTGCCGTATTCTGCCAGTATCCAAGGACTCTGGCTGCAACAGGAAGTTCTTCACAAACTAAATCTCATCATGTCAGCAGAGGCTGGTGGTCGTTCCAGTGTTATTGTAGTTTAGTGAGATGCGAGGGGCAAAAAGCTCTACTTAAATATTTCA